GTGTCATTATGTCACTGACAGGGATGATTCTTCATTCCATCCTCCTCTTTTGCTGTACAAACACCCATTGTAATCTCATCTTCACAAACTGGCATATGGGTCAAGGCATGTGTGCCATGAGAGCCAGTACACATTAGCCCTGAGAATAGGACTAGTGAAATACATGAACAGAGTGATATTTTTGTGGAAAGCATTGAACACTGATGTGTTTGGCAAAAACTTGCTTATCTGGTTCTCTTTTAGCAGCAATTCAGATTTGCCTAGAAGAGCAGCAGCATGGGGGCCACATCACTGAAATGGGTGGTGAGGGATAACAGCTAAAGATATGTCCTCAGTGTCAACTGGGGTCTGGATCACAGAGGAACTTTCAGGTTATGGTAATGACTTCCTCTATATGAAGATGGGGAGCTAAAGTAGGCTCCCATCACTTCTAATCTGGATGATGATCACAGTCATGATAATTTATTATTAAATTGTACAAGTCTAAGATCTGATTTAATGGCCATTTTACAAATGAGAAGGCTGAGACCCAGAATGTTTAAGAAACTTGCCCAAGGACATACAAGTGAGTGGTTCAGTCAAAAGTTCAACCCTCATTCTGTCTAACTCAAAAGTCTTCGTTCAATAAATATTCTAATTATACATTTTAACTTTATTTGTATGAAGAAAACTTGACTTTATTACATGAATTGGATAGAGCTGTAACATTTTTTGAAAGAAGTGAATAACATGGTCATATGTACTTTAAGAAACATAGTCAAGTTAAATCATATGGGAAAAAATGAAGTGGAGAGAATGGAATAGCATAACTACCTTCTCATAAATTATATCCACATAGCTAACACTTGTATTTTAAAAATGAGCTGCCATATACTTTCTATAGTCACCTCACTACCTCACTCTAGATTCAACTCTCAATCTCAACTTCCTTTTTTTGTTTGTTTGTTTGTTTTTAACACAATACAGTCATTCACTAGAAACTTTTGAAGGGTTTTTATTTTGTTGTTGTTTTTCTCTTTCCTTGATCCTAACTGCCTTCTTTTACAAATGTATGTTTTTGCTCCATTTCCAGAAGGACAAATATAACATTATTCTGGCATTCATTCCTACCTTACTCTATAAACACATACACTGTACTTGAAATGTCTGGGTTTTGTAGTCGACCTGTAAGTGTGTACATAGATACATGCACATACGTGACTAGACTTTAATTTAGAAAAGTTCAGTAGCCTGTGCAAGTGGGCAAATTTGATAGGGAGAAATATATTCATTTGGAACATTTATGATCTACCTATCCATACTATGCTCTAGCAGGTTCCTAAATTCCACCGACAAAAATTATTACTAAAATAGGGTCTCCAACCTAACTGAGGGAATGTACTTTGTTGAAATATTTAAAATGCATTAAATACTTCCAAGATAGAGAAGTCTTAAGGTAGAAGTTTGGCTGTTGAGTAGTCCTGAAATATGAGTAGTTCATTCTCAGCAGATAGTGGGAGAAGAAAATGAGAAGGGGGTTAGTAAAGAAGGAGAAGGCGAGGTGAAAGAGCACAGCAGTATGGCCCTGCATAGTATGTTAACGCAATTGTAATTAGACTGAAAGGAAGGGTACACATCAGAAATTTGCAGGAGACAGATTAGAAAGACAGGCAAGGGCCAAAGCAATAAAGACTTACCAAATAGAGCCAAGAACTGTGCAGGCTTTCCAGTAGGTGGGGCCCTTTACAATGGAAACCTTGAGTGGATTCTAGTTATGACAAAATTAAATATTTTTAAAATAACATCTATGTGGATTAGTAATGTGAACTAAAATTGCTTGCTTTAGAAAGGAGGGAACATGAAAAGGGAGTTTTCACTCTGTGAGAGGTAGTTATGCATTTAAACCATACTCACTGAGGACAGAGCAAGGAGAAATAAATAGGCTTAAAACTCAGCAGATGGGAAAATTACCTACAGAAGGGTTCCTTCATAGAAAGAGTTCATGTGACTGATGTAGATGATTAAAATGTTGTCTCCGTTTCTCTAGCTGTATGTTGGCTTTCCTCTGCTCAGAGCATGATTTCAAAGATTTGCTATTTCAAAGATAGCAAAGAATGGAGATATTTTTCAGGCTTGAATAGGTATATTTGAAATAAATGTTTTTTACTTGACAATTAGATGTTTTGCTATCGCTCTAACGAAAGTTTGGAAATTTTTTGAGCATGTCAAATATTGACATAAATAGAATCAATATAGCCCCTATGTATATTAGGGGGAAAATGACTGAAATTAATTAGAAGTAGGTGTTATTCTGTTAAGGGTATTTTGTATTCATATATCATTTTAGAAAGTTATTAAAGGTTAGCTAGAAGCAGTTAATATAAATGTAATATAAATGTAGTTATTAATCTTTATGTGTGTAGCATTTATTGGTCAGATGATTACAATTAAAATTGTTCTATGGTTTATTAACTGATGGTACCGTATCAGTGAATATAGTGAATTGCTCTAATTTTTATCATTCATAGATAATAGCTTATTAAAATAACATTGTATAAAATATTTCTTTTAGGTATTTCCAATTTCTGAAACTGTTATTTGGCTTTTTCTAACTTGAAAATGTATACAAGACACAGGATTATTGGTTGGCCATTGTGTAGTTCTTTTGCATCTTATGTATCTGCCTCATACTGCTGCCTCATACTGCTGCCTGTCTGATATTGACGAGGGAATGAGGAAGATCACAGGCAGACATGCATAAAGACACTTGACTTCTCACTGAAGCCAACCTTGAAATGCTTATTGTATAGTACCACTGATATTTGGGCAATCTGGACAAGTATTACTGGAATATTTTATGTTAATATAAATGAACATAATTTTGAATTAGCTAGGTAGCAAATGGAAGTCAATTTTATTTATTAATTAACTCACGTTAGAAGTGATTATTGATATACCAGATTACATTACTTTTGTACCACCCCAAGAGATGTATAAATCCAAGTAGTGCAATTTGGGAGAGCAAATTACTGGCCAAATGCCACTAACCTTTTGAAGTGATGAAGGTGAATATTCTTAGTTGCCTCTCTGTTGACACTGAAATATACAATAGGCACTGAGTGAAAGAGAGAATAGCTAGTGTATGAATGGTGTTAGTAAGAGAAACTGAAGAAATGATCAAGTGACTACACCTGAATAAATAAAAATCAGTTACCCTTAAATTTTACACTATATATTTTTAAATATTGGCTTTAGGGTCATATACATAGGGAAAAATAAAAAGACCACATATTTTTGTTGTGATTATTGCTTGCCAATTTCAAACATTAAAATTGACTATGTGTGGTCATTTAAAAAGTAAATATTGCAAATAGAACTTTAGCATTTTATATGCGTGTATAATTTGACATATATGTTGTTTTGCATGGGATTTGTATGTGTGTGTGTGTTGACTGCAGAGTTTTGAAAACATAGATCAATTTCCTTAATGTATACCCCAGTAATGCTTCTTGTGCCTAGGAGTTCAGTCAATTTGTTAAAAAAAAAAAGAAGAAGCAGCAGCAAACAAAATGTGCACTTCTTAACTTCTTATTTAACTTCTTATTTGGGACACCCAGCAATGCCTAACATACTCTGAAAACAGGGCATTTTATGAACATATAAAGTAATCACAGGGAAAGACCTCTCTTTAGGGAAAGTGAACCTCCCATTGATTACCCCACAGCTGCAAATCTCACTTAAGGCAAATTGTCCTTGAGGTTTTTTGTGGTTCTTATAGTTTGCCCTTGAATTGTGTCATTTCAACCTTTTAATACTTAAAAATGTTTGGCGAATCCATGTGATAATTTAGAGTTTTAAAAATTTTATCTGTGTGGGATTATATTAATCCCAGAAATTCTAGAAGAAATAATTGTGCCCACTTGAACTGCCAATATTATGCCTCCTGTGGATATTAGTTTTGAGCCTTGGATTAGTATTTCTTCCTAGTTGTTCATATCAATGGGACATAAACAGTTGTTAAAAAAGAATAGCACAAAACAGATTTAGTGTGGTTCGCATTTACTATATGTGTTTTTCGCTTAGTTACTAAAACAGTAAGGATTAAATTACTCCTTAATTGCCTAAATATCCTCCACAGTTTTTCATAAACCTATTTGTGAGGAATATTCATTTATTCTAAACAGAGTAATCCTTAAAGCCAAAAACCCCTAATCATTATGAACATCAGTGGACAAACCCATCATCTAAGGATTATAGAATTAAAACATCCAATAGAATGAGAAAACTTGATACTTTATGTTGTATTTGTCATTTATTTTAAAGAAAATCCTTGCGGCTTACTCTGGTATGAGACTTATTTAAAAGACTGTCATCATAGATTGTTTTCGTCCTATTCTTTAAAGACTTTTATTATTCTAACTGTGTCATCCCTATTGTAGTGTTTCTGAAAGGAAATTCAGTATATAAATAGACAAATAAAACTTGTCATGTTGTCATGATTGTGTGGTCAGATTGCTTAAAATCAGAATAAAAATCCTTCATTTTTTTTCCTGATGACCCATGTGAGTAAAGGAGGGTAAAATGTACTTATTTTATTATATTAATTTACATCAGTGGTTGCTAGAAAGAAAGGTAATTTCACAAATGAGTCCAACTCTCAAGATTGTTTCTGTGCTAAAGCAAAGATCAGAGTGTTGATAAACACACATTTACTTGGATTATTATTACCACAACTTGAATGAATATTCTTATGAGAAACATACTCCAGTTTTCCATCAGAGTTTAGATTAACATTAACGCTTAATTTTTCACTTTTTGCAGTCAACATTGTCACTTTTGAAATGTGGAGTTTATTGTAAAATCTATAGTATTGCTGTTTACCAGACCTCCCATTAGCAACCAGCTTTTTGTTTGATTTTTTATTTTTGTTTGATTTTTTTAAATGACATAATTCATTCATTTCACTTGTGAAAAAGCCAAAACAAATTTAACCCAAAAAAAGGTTTTTTTTTTCTTCCAAGATCAGAGATACTAAATCAGTAGATCAAAAAACAACCCTTTTGCATTTTATTGCTGAAATTTGTGAGGAAAAATACCGGGATATCCTAAAGTTTCCTGAAGAACTGGAACATGTGGAAAATGCAAGCAAAGGTAATTGATTTGCAGTTTGCTTTGGGCTTATTCTTTACCTAAGTATTATATTTTAAATGATAAAATTTGATAAACTGTAAATAATCATATTTTTTTCTGTTGATATATAAAAATTGGGTGGTTTCTATTAACATATACTTCATAGTATAGTGCATTTTAATTACTGATTTTGGCTTATTTTATGTTTTAACACTTCCATAAAAGTGAACCTTTCCTATCTCTGATCAGGTAATATGTTCATTTATTTCATAAACATTTAAGTTTATATTTGTAAGGCAAATAAAAAAAGATTGTGGTTTTTGCTTGAATGCGTTTAAAATCTAGAACATGCAAAAACATATGTAATTACTTATAAAATAAAGGATCAATGTGAGAAGGACTACATGAAAAGAGTCGATGTTGTATGTATGGTAGACAGTCTAGCACCACTTAAGGACTACAGCAGCTGGACAAGGCAGAAATAAAGAACAGATGACAAACAGAAATCTCTCCAAGATTTTAATTTAAGGGTAACTATCTTAGTATTATTTACTCTTATAGTAAGTTGAAATGTGGAAGAAAGGAGAAAGGATCAAGGAAAAAGTTGTTGAAGGTGAAATTATTTATATGGTGAACTGCGTTCGGCCTCTTAGATAAGAAACATACTATAAATTTTATATTTGAAACTAATGTATTAATTTCATTTCTTGTTACACTAAAGATGATTAGTAGGTGTGTACAAGCCTATATATTTCCCAAGTTTGCCACAAACTATGTAAACTCTTTGATTGTAAAAAGATGTTTCTGTAAAACCTAGAACATTGTTGGTATAATATTTTTTGGTGGTGATCATGGCCAATATGTTATCATCAATCACATCTTCAGCATGTTTCTTTAAAGTAATTAAGTATGTCTTATTTTTGGTCCAAAAAACCAGAATAACACTAGTAGACAACTTGTGACTCCATAGTACTATTTATTTTTATTAAAAACAAAACAAACATTATAATATAATGGGGAATTATAATCACTACAACTATGATAATAGCTTCCTAACAGTTGCTTTTCTAAAAATGTTACATCTTAGCAATTAGACTTAAAAACATACTTTTGTAACTAAAAGTAAATTTACTAGCAAGTAACCAAGGTAGAATAATACTAATCTTTAGAAAATTTGTATTGTAATTTGCAATACCAGAAATGCCACAATAAGAATCAATTCTGAAATGAGATTTTTTTTAAAGGTTTTTTAAAAATTTATTTATGCATATGAGAACTATGGAGTAAGCCAAAGTTGTAGGGGGGATTAAGAGGGACTAGGATTCTACAGAGACAGAGTAGGGAGCAGAACAGTCAGATCTGCTGAAATACAATGCTGCAGGGAGCAGCAGGCGAGACAGGAGAGTTGTGCTGCGCCATGTGGTTCAGCTCCCTGGCTGGGGATCTTACTCATACTGCAGTGACTGGTGATCGCTTGATAGTGCTGAGACTTTAAACACACACCACCAGGGAGGCCCCCCAAATTAAATAATTGCATTGCTTTTATTATCCTTTGATTGCTTTCTGTGAGAATTTTGCTGTAAATTTTATTTGCTCAATATGTACCTTAATTACAGAAACATATTGGTAGGAAGTGTTTCAAGTATATGTTTAAATGAAATATTGGTCAGTTTTCCAATGATGATGTTTAATTCTTACATTGAGGATACTGTACATGAATATACCTAGTAAGCATATTTTATTCAAATGATTATGGGACAACATAATGAAATCTGAGTGAAGTTTACATGACCCTTAAATCTATCTATATTTAAGTGTGTTTATATAGATATGTGTCTGTACATGTATACATGTAAGTATATATGTGTACATATACACACATGTATCAAACTTCTGCTATTGGTGAAGGTAAACTATAGAGCATAGCTCTTCAAAGTAGGTATTATAAAGTTCTAAAACTAGATCTTTTACTTATTAGTTAGATAACCTACAGCTCTAGTATTTTAAATTTCCAGTTTTTGTTTCCTCATTTATAAAATAAGAATCGAAGTAGCAATACCATTAAATGAGTTAACACTTTAAAAATATACAGTTAAAGCTTTAGCCTATTGTAAATATGCACCTGTTGCCATAACAGCTACTATCTGTAATAATTTTGATAGTAGTGGTAGCAGCAGCAGTAGTGATAATGATAGTCTATAAACACTATAGTTGTTGCTATTGTCAAGGTAGAAGGGAATGATCATATGAGCACATAGAGTTCCTCCAGTCTTAGCTATGTGTAAATTATATTCAATTGTGTTTCTTTCCTATTTCCAGGCTTTAGGTAAAGCCTTCCATATTTTTTCTTTTACATTATCATCCACTTCTTTCTATCCATTTCAAGAGCAAAATCTCTCTGTGTTGTATTTGGATTTTCTGCTTTTGTATTTTCTTTCTGTCAATGTATTCAAAAGAAATCCTCTTCCTAGCTCACTGTTTGGGAGGCAGCAATCCCCGTTCTCAAGTTATTTGACTAGTTTTTTTACTGATCCCTGTGAAATTCAGACTCCTAAGTCTTCAACTCAAAAATTTCTTAAGTACATTCTGCCTCCTTGCGTTTGTCTTTCATTTCCTCCTAGTTCTCACTTTATTGTGACCAGATATATTTTCTCTTGAGCCATTTTTATTCCTTTCTTATAGCTGTCTCTCTGTATGATTTCATGCTGCATCCCATGCCTGGAAATCTTACTTGCTCTGTCCTTTGAGACAGCTGAATATTATTTGTCAAATCCCTGCTTAGAACACATTTCATTTATCTATTTGTTTATCTATTTATTTATTAATGTTTTAGTGCTAAAACCTTCAGAGAAAACACCTTCGAATTCATTCTGCAGGACAAAGCAAAATATACTACCTATTTATACTTAAAATTTTTGCTTGGCATTTGAGTCTAACTGATGCTATTTAGTAAATATGCATTTCATTACTATTTGAACCACATTCTGTCACTTCAAGTACTGTGTAGAGCTTGTATATTCATTCTACAAACAACAGTAGAACTATAGCAGCACTATAAAATTCACTTTATATGATGATGGGAAATTATCCCATTCAAACAAACAAAAAAAAAAACCAAAAAGCAATATTTCTTTTTAACCTGGAATGATAGATAAGATGAAAGTAATTATTGATTATACAATTTATATTTAAATACTAGTTATATATGTACTAATATCTTTTATGATTTTGGATTATTAGAACCCATATACTTGTGTTTATTTAGTAAGGATCTTTTCTGTGAGACAGGAAACTTATTTCAGGTTAGCAAATTTATACACTTGAAATTAACTGCAAAAGAAAAAAAATTACTTTGATATGAACAGAACACTGAATGTGGAAAATATTCATGATCTATAGAAGAATTTAGTTTGTAGTATACTTTTATTTTGTAAAGCTAAGTTCCTGAAATTGTGTGTATCTTAGAAGATGCAAATCTATAGTAAAATTTTGGCATATTTACCCTGTACTCTTTAACTCAATGATATCAAGGAAAATACATCATTTTTACATTAAAACAGATATATATTATGGAGTAGAATGTAAAACACACATGAATTTTTAAAATAAAACCTATGACTTCAAAGAGGTTTCACACTGGCAGCAGATTCCTAGGGGTGCCTGTTCAAGCTTCTCTTCCACTAACATGGTAGATGGATGGGAAAAGTTTATGAAGCACTACCTAAATAATTATGGTGGTTTCAGCTTGGTTTGATTTAGAATAACTTATTTAAGTATTTAGTATTCTTGCAAGGAAAGGGGAGGCAAGATAAAGAGTAAGGCAGGATGATGTCTGCTTTCTTCTGATCAATATTTTCATCGTTTTTATGAATTTTAGAATTAAACAGTGTAATGTAGTTTTATTACTGAAATTAATGAAATCATATTGCTCTGGTCATTTTATTCTAGGTTAAAGTATAAATCTAAAGACTCATTCTTGTTTGATATATCCATTGAGTCTTTAGAGAGAGAGAAAAAAAAAGTTGCTATATAACCGGTGATTCTTTTAAAAACACTGAAAGTACTTTAGATAAACCACAATTACTTTTCCCTAAATGATTAATTTTAAAGATTATATGCATATATAATGGTATATAGTGTATAAAACTTTGCCACTTTCTCAGACATTTCATAAAACCTCATGCCTCGTACTTGTACTCCATGACTATCAGACTATTACTTTAACTTTCAGTTCTCAGCATTTTTATACTTTAATTTCAAACCACTAGATTTATATGTCAGCTCTAGAGATTAAACTAAAAGGGCTAGTAAATTCTAATTAAAAGAATCCATTCTACTGGGTGAAATTATTTTAATATATATGAAAGGGCTATTTGTTTAAAAGATCTATTTATTTATGCATAAGCAATCTGAGTTACAGGACACAGGTGCAGGGGTTGAGAATTCCACCAGAGACAGAGTGGGGAGCAGAACAGGCAGATTGACAAACACACTGCTGAGGGGAGCAGTGGGCGGGACATGCGAGATCTACCCCATATGGGTCAGCTCCCTGGCTGGCGATCGAACTAATGCTGTAGAAATCTATGAAGTGTTGTGCTTCAACCCTCTTGCAACACCAGGAATGCCCTGAGAGGCTATTAATCCTAATGTTTTGCATAGATTCAAAATGTGTTTTTACTTCATTAAAATTGGAAACACTATACAAAATAAAACCTGGTTGTCTATAAGTGTTACTTCTGTTAAATTGCAACTAGTGTGAATTCCAATATACAACTATACCTTTTGATATTTGACATGTTTTCCATTTCATATTAGTGACTCAGATTAGCTATTTTTCCACTATTATTTCCTCACAGGATTGGTAATGATATTTCAAATTACAGAAATATTTCATTGAGCAATTTATGAAATCACAAAAAAGTAAATTAAAAGCGGATAAAAAAGTTGGAGGAGAGAGGAATAACAAAACATTTTCTGAAACTTCCTACAGCTTTAAAGATCACATAGTCCCTTCAAAAAAG